GGGGGCTATGTTGGCCCATCTTGACCCTACGTTGGCCCATCTTGGGGCCATGTTGGCCCAACTTGGGCACTTTTTTCGGCTTATGTTGGGCCATGTTGACCCATCTTGAGCCACAAAGCCAGAAAAATGGTGAAGAAGCAGAAAACACTGTAAAACGCGCCACTGCACAGGGGTCTGCGGTAGGGTCGGCGGCGGGGGGGGACTCCCCTCTCTCTTTTTTGGAGAGGAGAGACTGCCTACGGCAATGACACGGCCAGGGGGCCCCTGGCCGGATTTAAGGGCTTACGCCCGACAGCCGGCCAGGGGCCCAAGCCAAGGGGAGGGGGTTGTTGTTGTTGTTGTCGTTGTTGTTGTTGTTGGTGGTGGTGGTGGTGTTGTTGTTGTGGTTGTTGTTGGTGGTTGTGGTTGTGGTTGTGGTTGTGGTGTGGTTGTTGTTGTTGTGGTGGTTGTTGTGGTTGTTGTTGTGGTTGTGGTTGTTGTTGTTGTTGTTGTTGTTGTTGCTTTCTTGGCCCAGCTTGGGTCGATGTTGGCGTATCTTGGGGGCTATCTGGGCATCTTGGGAGCTATGCTAGCCCATCTTGTCGCTATGTTGGGGCTATGTTGGCCCATCTTGGGGCCTATGTCGGCCCATCTTGGCGCTATCTTGGCCCATCTTGGGGCCATGTTGGCCCATCTTGGGGGCTATGTTGGCCCATGTTGGGGCTATGTGGCCCATGTTAGCCCAGCATCCGCCCACGATGCAGACGAAGCGCCCCGGTGCGGCACGCATTTCCAGCATTATTTGGGCCTATGTTGAGCCATCTGGAGCCACAAACCCGGAGATGGCCTACGGCAAGGACACGGCCAGGGGCCCCGTGGGCACCTGGCCGGATTATGATCTCTCTCTCTCTCTCTCTCTCTCTCGCTTTCGCTTTCCCTTTCCCTTTCCCTTTCCCTTTCCCTCTCCCTCTCTCTCACTCTCTCTCTTTCCCTCTCCTCTCTCTCCCTCTCCTCTCTCTGTCTGTCTCTGTCTCCGTCTCGGTCCTCGGTCTCTGTTGGTCTCTGTCGGTCTGTCTCTGTCTCTGTCTCTGTCTCTGTCTGTCTCTGTCTCTTTCGCTTTCCCTCTCCCTCTCCTATTGAGCAAAGTTAAGCTATCTGGTGCGCATCTTGGC